GAAGCAATGTTTAGAGAGACAGAGAGGTTGAACAAGACAAAAAAAAAGATTGAGAGAAAAGGAAAGCGGGGGGAGAGAAAACAGGATGATAACAAAAGCAGCTCGGATTTCACAGACGCATATTTCATCAATCATGTGAATAAGTCGTGGTGATTATGCATGGCGGTGGCAGGCTGAGGGGGGGCTGATTACCATACACCATAAAGGCTGCTTTCTTATCTCACACACACTGATTAGTTTCTGTCTGCAGATAGCCTCTCACTCTTCGCTCTTTTACACACACACATACTCTTGGGTTGCGTCTATTCTTGTTCTACACATGGCATGTATTCATGCAAGCACACGCCCAAAAACGCACACACACATACTCAAAAAAATAAAAATAAAACACTGTTTGTCCACTGCGGATATATATATAAGCATGTTCAGTCAAGATCATCAAATAGCAGAAAGCAAAGGGTAAAATATCTTCTCAAATTTGCATCTTGCATAATGTATCTTGTAATTGATTTTTATCATTTATCATATTTTTTTTCCAACAGGATATCACTTTAAATTTTTCATTGAAGCTAGTCTGACTTTTCCTGTGTGGGGTAAACCCGAGCCTTAACACACTTTGTTGGACACCGTTGTTTGTCCCGAGCTGCAACAACAATGAAATCCATCACATGAAGGTCCAACTTCTCTACCAGCCAAACAGAATGCTCGGTTATGCGGCCCTGCAAAGTATGGACGATGGCTTCTTCAAGACCTGGATCTTGTGATTGCATTCCGCGGCTTCCCCATGCTTTACAAATACTTCAGGTCTTTTAGTGTACCCGTGTACAATCACTTGATGCTCTCTTTTGTCCCAGTGGAAGAATGTGGTGATGGCGAGTTCCTCCGTCGCCTGGTGTCCGTAGAGGGTAAAGTCCTCTTCGCTGTGGATCAGGGGAACGTCAAACTTAATCACGGATTTTCATAGGAGAAAGGCGACGACCGTCCCGAGCGGGCTCAGACCTTCTGCCTTCATAGTACACTTAAAGGCAGAATAACTGTCTGTCTCCATCAATGTTTAAAAAATGTCAGACTGCGTGGATCATGGTCAGTACATGGTGACCTCGGAGTTATTTTCCTTGTTATGTTATTATTATATATATTATTATTATTCTATATTGGGACATATCTACATATAATCCATCTCCCTCGACTCCACTATGTTCATTTCTTTGTTTTTGGCTACAATGGCCCCAAAATGGCACATTCCAGAAAATGTTCTATTCTCTTTTGAGGTAGAAAATTCTTCTACATTTAAAAAAAAACTTGTTTGTAGGAATCTCAATCATTGTTTTTATGTCCGGCCTTTTACACCTCTACAGCTGTATCTGAAATGTATACCAATGTGTCTTTTCTATTTCTACTGGCTTTTTTGGTAGACTGAGTGGCTCCAAGAAAACTAAAACCAAAATGGATTACCACTATATTCTCAAGTAAATGTGTTGCAGACTGTTTTGGTACTTTAGGTCATTTTCTGCCACTGTGGCCTTTATGTGGTGCAGAATGAGAGAGAGAGAGAGACATCGAGAAAATTAGCTACGTATGAAAGGCCTCGCTTTGTGTCTCAACCAGGGAATTAGAAATGACTCCTTCTCTTTCGCTCCTCTCTCTCGCTCTGATATATAACGTAAACTCATTTGGTAACCAGGCTCGAGCTGCGTGGCGCTGTCTGAGTGTCTGCATGTGAGAAGTGTGCCTGGGACGCATTAGGGCCTCCTGACAGGGGCCTGGGTGAAATAAGTGAAATTAATGGAGCTCCTTTCATGTCGGACAAGGCCGCGGCACCCCTTTCACGCCGCGTACAGTCACGGAAAAGTCAATACTTTTTTATTACTCCTCGCTTGCCCTACATTCCCCGCTACAAGTGCTCTGTTCGCTAATTGGTTTCAGTTTGCAGAGAAAGAGGAGAGAAAGAGAGGGAGAGTACTCCATCCCAAAGAACACAGGCAAATAAATCAATCTCATATTTTTTCTCCCCGCTGTCTTTTCTCATTGAGAAACATCATGGCAGAGCGAGGGAGGGATGAGACAGAAATAAAGGAGAGTGCGATAGGGTAAATGGTTGGTTAGAGCACGCCTGGTCCCCGGAGAGCATAATGATATCTGGGAGCCTGTTAATGGAGACGAGTGGTTAAAGTGATCTAGGGCCTGGTCACCCCAGGGGGCTTCAAACCAGCAACCTTACCTCAACATCCTGCACGCGCTCTTGGCTCAGAGGCACAATGGAGCGTCCTACCAAAATACAATTTCAGACAGAAACGTTGATAGATTTGCAGAAGATGCAATGAATCTGTGTGTGCAGATATCAGGGTCCGTTTTCAACTGTCAATGCCTTCAGTGATTGTTTTCAGCGTTTTCAAAGCCTTGCTGCACTGATGGAGGATCTAGGATTACTAGATAATTTTACAGTATGTGTTGTAATTATTCATCATGAACTTTTGCCAGAACACATCCGTCTTTTGGGAAACACTATTTCACAGTTACAATTGAAAATGGTAGAAAGGTAGAAAAATATCTATAAAAATAAAGATTTGGAATTTGAGTGCTTTAGAAACCATATAATTGGATGTGCCTGCATTCCTGTAAGTATACTGTGCATATGTGTGTGTTTGTGTGTGTGTGTGTGTGTGTGTGTGTCTACTAAATGTATGTGTCCTGTCCGCCAGTTTGCTGTTCACTGTTGTGTTAAGCTTAAGTGGCAGTGGGGTTAGCCTCTTTCAGAAACAGCACAGCCACAAATTGATGTGACACTTTGAACCCCCTTCATTTCTTCCCGCCAGCCCACCACCTCCAACACACGCGCACACACAGACACACACACCCCAATCAGCCTCCAGTTGAAAGGAGGTTCCACCAGTCTCGTTTTCTTTCTGCGTCCCAGCTTTCACAGCTCCGTAGTGTGGGCTGGGGTAGGTTTGGGGGTTTACAGTATGTGTGTATTTGTGTGCATGTGAGCGTGTGTGCATCTGTGTGAAGGAGCTGTCACACAGGGCTGGCATCACCATCCAGTTTGCCATCTCTATCTCAGCTTGACAAGTCCCTTCTCCCTGCCCCATGGCTAACACACAGGCGCACACACACACGCACACATCTCGCTCTCCCTCATACACACATACGGTATGACCGATCACAGACTCACATGCACTGTGGGAATGCATAAAATGAAGAAAAAAAATGCAAGCACACACACAGTTTCACAGGCTCCATATTACACAATGAATGTTTGACCAAAGCTTTAGCATGCTTTGGACATTGTGACAGTAACACATCACGTCACATCATTGTTACTGTATATGTAGCTGAATTTAGACCGAAATTTGCTTCAACCTTTGTGTGCAAGAGTTTCTATTTTTGTGTGTGTGTGTGTGTGACAGAGAGAGAGTGCGATGTTCTCCGCAGTGTTTGGCGTCAGATCGCAGAGGGGTTCTGTTTGTTACAAGGACAGGCTTGTCCCCGCCCCCAGGCATCGGCATTACGATGATTGTCATGGCGATGGAGTGTGAGTGACAGGCGGGTTCACATGTGGTAGCCGGGGAGCAGGAAGCCCGAACCGCCCCAGTCCCTGACATTAGTTTGTCCTTCATCAAAACTTTACACTCGTTCACAACTGCTCACTCGCTCTGTTGCAAAATCTTTCTCATTTACTTCTTTTTTTTTACCATCTGTCTCTCTCATGTACTGATCTATCTCTCTCTCTCTCTCTTTTATTCTATTTCTCTGGCTTGTGCGCTCTCATTTACATTTCATTTAAATCCTTTTTCATCCTCACTTCTCTTTCTATCTGCGTCTCTTACCCTTTCTTTCATTTTTCTCTTGCTGTCATTTACGAGTGCCGGTGTTTTGTATTTTTTTTTTTTTATTGGGCATCATACTGTACGTAACATGTGGAGTGCATTCCTCAAACGACAAAATGTATGTGTGTGTGTGTTTGTTCAGGCATTTTTGCCCATGTGCATTTCGCCTCCGAAGTTTTTATTTGTGGAGATGAATGTGTTGAAGCAAACGTTTAGCTGTGTGTGTGTATGTGTGTTTGTACGGATACAAATGTACGTGTATGTGTGTTATTTTCTGTGCATCGCAGCAGAAAAGGAGGTCAGCTGTTAATGTTGCCCGTTACGACCGTGATTAAGAGCCCCGCTTAGTTCCAGCAGCCTGTGCAGACGCGCAGACTCACAAACACACACTCTCACACGTCTATGTCTCAGGTGCTGTGTAGTTTTACAGGAGGCTCTCTCTTATATGTTATCGCCCTGTTGTGCATGCGTTCATGGTAGTGTGTGTGTGTGTGTGTGTGTGCGTGTGTGTGTGTGTGCTTGTTGTTCGGGGGCTGTGCTGTACACGGTCTCTAACTGGGAGGAGGCTCCAGGGCCTGATGAGAAACCTGTCATAGTCACTCATGAAAAGAGCAATTCACCACTCCACACACACACACACACACACACACACACATGCACACAGCATGAGGTTGCACATGGTCTTGGTGAGTGTATTTCTGAATCATAATGGTTGGATGTATAGCTTCATCCCCATCTATGAAAGTTGGAAAACTGTCACATCAGCCATCTTCACTGAATATTATTTTGTTCAGAAATGTTTAAAAAACAATGCGCGTGTGCCTTGCTGCTTGCTTGCTTATCACACTACACCACATTGCATCATACAACTCAAATTCAAATTGATTGCAGGAATGCTGTTACATGTGGATCCAGCGTGTGAGGAGGCACTGAATGAAGATGAAATAAAGATATAGTCTGCTTCTCCTTGTTGTGCAGGTCATCCCCTCATTGTTTTGGACCTGTGGTTTGTTTGCACAAGGAGAAACCAAGACATTGTATAAGTTAATTTGTTGAACCTGATCTTGACTCTTAACTGATTTAATGTCTGCTCTTTTTTCCTATTTCTGAACATGTCTCTCCCTCCCCACCCCTCTTGGTCCTGTCTGCCTGGTCTCCGCTCCTCTCCAGCTGGTCAAGACATTGTTGGCCACCTACGTCTTTGATAAGTCTGCTCCTCCAAGGCTGGCAGCATCGTGTGAAACACCTCCTTCTGGCCTCAGAAAATGAAGAGAACTACAAATAAAGATGGCTGGTTGTATGTACTATATTGTATTTGCATAGTGGGTATTTTTGAGTCCATGGGTTCGGTGTAGTCAGTTTGAGTTCACGTCTATTTGGCTTTTTATCAAAGAAAACACACTTTACAGTATTCTACGGTCAGTAGTTTATTTCCCAGAGTATTTGTGATTCGGAGTCACTGGATGTTCAACAAAATCAGGTCCAATCTGACAACAACCACAAGTCACTATGTGTTGATTCTGTATAAAAAAATGTAATGTGTTTCGAAAGAAACCGAAACATCCATTGGGTCCATTGACTTTTCCAACATGTGGTATTACAGGATCCATTGAGTGATTTCAACATTCACGGATTGTCAAAACAACAACATGGTTAATACAAAACATTTCCTCATCTCTGCATCTCGTTTGGTCTGACCAACTACAAATCAAAAAAGAACAAGAAAAACATACAATATCAAATTTGTGGTTATTGAAACTTTTTTCCGCAAAAAAAACGTACAGATGTATAGCATGTTCCTTTGTGCTGACATTTTGAAAGACTTTATTTCAATTGCCAGTCAAAATTATTAAGACCATCGCTGACCCTTTTCTGGTTGAGACGACTTCACATGTCACCTCCTCGGGCTGCGCCCTGAGGCAGGACTCCGTCACATACTCGACGGTTTTGATCATGAAGTACAAAGCGAGTCTGCCTCCATCACTTTTTGGTCTCTGGCACCGACACGTGGCACAGAGGTTTCCATCATTTAATCTACTTAATTCTACGCTAATTCGCTAACACAAACTTTGTCTCCGGTCCTTTCTTGTTTGCTTCCTCTCTTCTCCCCCTGTCCTCCGTGTTGCTGGCGTCCCCCCCGGGCCTGTGCTATAAGGCGTGGAATGGGAGCATAGACAGAGCATTTAGTAATGGCTTCTTAATGGGCTTGTCGACAGCCACATTAGAGCGTACAGGCAGCGGGCGAGGCCGAGCAGCGATATGCCAAGCCAGATGCCATGCCAGCTGTGGCACTCCACTCTCTCACTTACGCTCTCATTTGTAATCACATTTCTCATACGGATGGACGCCATGTGCGTGAAGAAGAAAAAAAGGCAGACGCACAGGCATGTCTCCTCCCAATTCTGCTCAGTTGTTGGGAGCTGATGACATCAATGGGGACGTTGTGGTGTTAAAAAGGAAATGTAAACCGTGATTGGTGGTCTGTGGAGGAACCTTTTAAGGAAAATTGGGGTTTATCTCAGAAAATAATGACTGTTAACAAAAGGAAAACATCAACAAAGATCTCACAAGCGGCTCATATATATACTTTTGAATACATGTTTTTATTGTATAGGATTGTATTCCTTTTGCTACACCGCTGCCTGCTTTCAGGAATGGGACTCCCTGGACCTCCTGAGCCTCCTTCTGTATGAGCATTCAGCTGCATTTGAATTGTTTTAACATGTGCTCAAGTGTCTTAAATGTTATGTACTACAGTCTCTGCCAGCACTCTGCTCAAGCCTGAGTCACTGTGGAGCATCACGTCCGCCAAACTGAGATACATGTTCATGCAATAAATGGTTCAAATCTTCACATTGGTCTCCTAACTGTAGTGGTAACATTATTACCGAAACTGTCCGGCCATCCAAACCTTACAGCGAAATTTCCTCTTTGAACTTTGACCTGTTCATCCTGCTTGAGGCCAAAGATTATCGGCCTTTACCAAATGTTTGATGGATTCAATATTGGTATTTTCTTTCTATAAAACAAACATTCTTGATAAAAGTTTAAATAGCTGCAACAAAGTTTCTGAGAGAATCATGCTACTGTCCAGCAAACACACCATGTAACAGCCAGACTTTTTTTTTACATTCTGACATCTTTGGTTTATCTATTCTGCAATTTCTTAAAATCTCAAATATTAGTCAGTAACCACCAGAGTTTATGCAGATTTGCTGTAAATGTGAAAACACCCAACTGGGCCAATGGGCCTTTTGCCATTTCTTACCCCTCTACTTCCGGCACCTTTGCTTTTATCCCACCAATCTTCAAACACAACCTCCATTTTCATTTCAACTACACACCTTTAAAATGTCACAACTTCTTTCATACTGTTGTAATTGTTTCGTATTTGCTAAATCTTTCCACAGTCAGACGTATGGCTTATAAACACCTGGCGAAATACTCAGTACTGCCTTTGTGGTTGTTCCCGCTGCAGTAGTAGGACCACATATACCATGATACCATGATGACACACACACAGACTTGTAATAAGTAATGGTAATAAGATCCAAATTACAGTTAAAAATGGAGAAAAAAAATTCTAGGAAACCAAAATAGTAAGGCAGGATAAACAACTTTAGCAAGTAAATGACAAGGAAAAATGCATAAATTAAATTAGGTTTAGTAAGTGTTACTGAGAAGAAAGTGATGTCAGAGAGAGGGAGGACTGATTAAAGTAATAGATGGATGATTGAATCAATTAATGAATGTTAATGTGCTTCAGTGTAACCAGGGACGGGAATGTCTTTGCCAAAGGTCTTGTAGGTCTCCAGTAGGGGGAGCCATGTGTCAGTGACTCCAGTGTCAGTCCATGTCAAAAAACCTTCATCAGTGGCTTATTGTGTGTGTGTGTGTGTGTGTGTGTGTGTGTGTGTGTGTGTGTGTGGGTGTGTGTGTGTGCGCCGAGGATTGAATAGTCAGAAGGTGGTTCTTTGTTTCCTCATCTGATCTGATCTTGTTGCTATCAAACCATTTTTTTCCTGCGTCAGCGATGATCAAGTGTGATGAGGATGCAAAGAGAACAAGGTGTGTGTGTTTGTGTGTGTGTGTGTTTACCTATTGGCAGCTGATAGCATTTCAGGAGTTGAAGCGTATATACAGACTGGCGGCCCTCTACGCTCTATCGACAGCTGCCAATTGTCACTTCAATGACTGACAGTTCTGTATTGATGGATGGGACCTGCTGACTGAGAGACGGAGGACAAAACAAAAGGAAACAGGGCACCGTTGGTGGAGATGGGCAGAGGGGACGGCAAAGAAAAGGAAGAAAAAGGCCGGCGAGTCTGCTGACTGGGACCTGAAACTTTCTCAAGGTCATGGATGGGGAAAGTGGGAGGGGGGGGTCCGGATCACTTTCTAACCTGAGACTGAATCAGTCCACTCTCAGCTCTATGACAAAAGTACAGTTTTCAAGATGTCCAGATTCTAACGATCCTCTTTCTTCTATTCAATTGCTTGTCTATTTTTTCACATTTTCCTTATTATGTTTGGCCAAGAAGTTCATACTAATGAAATAAAAAATGGCTGGACAGTGAGACCGTGAACTTATTTCAGGCATCTTGTGTGACATGACAGGGCGTCTAACACGAGTGGTTTTGTTGTGTTTGAAAGGGTGAGACTGATAAAGAAGCCAGAGGAGCACAAATCGTGTCCACGGGTTTAGTTCTTGCATGGAGCTGCTAACACTGAAGTTTCAAACTGTGTGAAAGCTGCAAAAAGAAGCCTGTGTAATCAAGAGAAATACATAATTTGTGCGCACTGCACATATTAAATGATGAGAATGTGTGTCATTTTTCAAGGCCGTCTGAGTACTAAATCAGGCGTGTAATATGGCAACACATCTTAAAAAAGTCTTCCTTTGTATTTGGCTACCTCTGTGACTCACGCATCACAGATAGTTTTTGACTTGCTGATCTAAGTAAACTCTAAACTGAAAGGTTTCATGGTTCTATCGGGGAGGAAAGCTCCGATCACTTTTCCTTTCTTTCTCATTGTTTTGGCAAAGTACTTTTGGACTGCGCCTCGATTCCCGCGTGTCTCTTGATTGACCTTCGCAGCCCATCCCCATCACACGCACATATCCCCACCAAGATATCTTATTCACACACACATGCAGTACACACAATCGTGTCTATAGATCCGTGTGTGTGTGTGTGTGTGTGTGTGTGTGTGTGCTGCCTCACCTCAGGAAACTTGTGGCTAATTCCATTAGTGGGAGGGGAGAGTATGTAAATGAGGGGAGACAGCTGGTGGTGAGGGGAGGTTGATGGAGTGAGCCTAAGGGGCCAAAGAAACACACACACATACACTCATTACTACACTTACACACATGTGCAGGCATTGTCTTCAGAATAATATTGTGACTCCAGCTCAGATGGTTGTAACCCATACACATATACATACACGGCACATTTTGGGTTTTAGTGACGCAAGCTCTCGCAGAAGGAACTCAGTATGAAGCCAACTGCAGATCCTCAAAGTACCACTGGAGGGTGGATCGAATGAGAAAGTGTGTACAGACTTCTGACTTATACTTTATTTTGTGTCTACTCAACTGTCTATTGCTGCACAACTCTCTCTCCTAGATACAATGCTTTAAAATTAGGGAAACAAATAATGCAGAACAGCAAAAAACAAATGTTTTGGCATGATGATAATCACCAATTTGGAAAAATTATTATTTATCAATTAGCCAACTAAACAGACACAAAAGGCTGCAATATCCACTGGGAACAACAGAAGTATCGACTTCTCTATAGTTATTATTAGGGACTCAAATCACTTAATTAAGTTCAAATGACTTGAAGAATGCGATACAAAGGTTTGACTTACCTAATATTTAAACAAAACGACAGTGTTATGGTTAAATGTTAATGTTTTCTAAATAATAAACATGCATGATAAACACAAATAATATGTCAATGCCTCAAATACCCATGATGTCTGCATATGTTGAGAATGCACACATGTTAGGATGTATATATGTGTGTGTGTGTGTGTGTGTGTGTGTGTTAGGGTGGAGGGATTCATGAGTGGGGGGGGTGGACAGAGGATCCAGATGGTTGCAGAGATGGATGGAGTGATAGATAAAGACAATGAAAGAAGGAACAAAGACCGACGGAGTCTCTGTTTATCATTCAGGAGCCTCTTCTGTTGGTCACACCTGTGCTCACACACACACACACACACACACACACACACACACACACACAGGAAGGTGTTGGCCGTAATCCTATTGTGCATCAGCAGTGACCACAGTACCGCAGGACTCTCTCATCACCTGTCACCTCACACACACGCACACACACATACACACATTATAATCCTGTCAGCGACTGTGATGGAATTTGGAGGGGATTTCATTTTTTATGAATCTATCAGCAAACTATGAATCATTGGAGAGAAAAAAAAATCCAGGGCCCTAAACACGTATGCACACATAAACACACACACACACACACACACACACACACACACACACACACACACACACACACACACACACTTCATAGGTGTACATTAAACTGTCCTAAAGCAAAGGAGCAGCATGTTAAAACTATAATTGGGTGGTTTCCCTCTTTAAAGCGAGGCATTGTTGGCTGAATGTGATGTACACTGCTTGATTGACAGGAAATGAGAGAGGAGGTGGGGCAGTCTGTCATATTGCTAATGTGATAGGTAATGCCCCAAGGACACACACACACACACACAACAGAGTGACGCTCTATCCGTTTCCCTATACACACCTACACACACCTCAGTTTCTCCATCTTTCTCCATCTCAATCTTCCTCATACACATGAACAGTGTGTCGTATTCTTCTTCACATGCACTCTTTGTCTCATTGTGAATCAGTCACACACAGCGATGTATGCGCTCAATGTTTGGCTGCTTGGGGTTTTACTGCAGGTTAATAATGAGAGGAGAGGTGTTTGACCCTGTCAAAGCTGTGAGAAACTGACCCAAAGAAATCAGACAGGGGGCAAGACCCCAGAACCCCGAGGGCATAAAGTGTGTATGTGCGTGTGTGTCAGTGTAAAGGAGAGGGGGGGAGTGTGTGTGTCCATCCACATCTTCTCATGGATGACACATGTGCGCTCATTTACATGCGATTACCTTTCTATTGGCTATGAGGCCACACACACACACACGCACACACATTGGTGGATTGGCCTGGTGTGATGTCCTGTCAGATGTCAGGATGCAGATGGGATGGAATGCAGAAGGGTGGGTCGCGTCTGTTTCCCCCTCTCTTTCTCACACACACACACACGTGCTTACACACACCTGTCTTGCCCCCCTAAGGTGCCCAGTTACTAAGAGAGTTGTCAGCCCGTCTGTGTGAGGCTTCAGCTGTTTGACATCTGCCAGCGACCCCCGAAAACACGCACGCACACACACACACACACACAGACACAAAACTCCCCTACCACCACATTTCGGAACAACAGAGCGTCTCCCAGTGATCAACATTTAGACACAGTCATCACTTACTGGTCCCAGCTGCCAACACGCACAGACAGACACACACACACACACACATCCGGAGAAAGAGTGTGAGAGAGGTGGGGGATCGAACTACGAGCCTGAGACAAGTTAGGCAAATCAAGAAAAGAATTTTAAGATTTTAACTGTCTTTCCACATGGGTTTGTGTGCATGTGTGTGTGCGTGTGTGTGCGTGTGTTAAGGTTTCCATTTGTCAGCGCTCCATACTTACAGCGATAAAGAGACAAGCCTCCATTCGTCCCACTTTCATACAAGATAATGAAGCTGTCATTCTCCGACAACTTCATTGGATTGTTACAGGAGC